ATAAATAAATCTGAGTATACTATATAATATAAGTATATATATAAAGTATAGTATATATCAATATAATATATATATAATAGTAATTATATATAATACATATAAATATATATATAATATAATATATATATATGAATAAATACTATATATATATAATATAATATATATTATATAATAATATATATATATATAAATATATATATAATATATATATATATAATATATATATACATACATACATACCACACATGAATGCAATATAATTGTATCATATAATATACATACATATATATCTATAATATATATATATATATATATATATTTATATATATATAATACATATATAGTATATATATGCATACATATAACACACACATGTAGTATATATGTATATATAGCATATATTTAGTTAATACATACATATACATAAATATAATATATATATATTAATATATTATATATATAATATATATATATAATTATATATAATTGGTCATATAATGCATATATCTTATATAAATATAATATTTATATATAATATATAAATTATAATAATATATAATATATATATTATTAATATATCGATAATATATGTATTATATATTAACTATAAATACTATCCATTATATATATTATATATACCATATATATATTTATATATGCTTAAATTATGTGTATATATTCTAATTATGTGATATGTGCTATGTGTATATCATAACTTACTATATATATATACTACTCACAATAATATATATATATATATAATGAATCATACTAAATCATTATATTATTAATATATACACATTCACTATACACATATTTAATATATCACTATTTAACCATAATATATAGTATAACTAATATCATAATATATAACCTATATAATTACCAAATATTATATATATCAAACCTACTTATACTATGTATAATATATATATAATCCAAAACAAAACTACTTTTTTTATACACAGGATTATTATTAAAGCGGCTTTATAACTCACGATAATGATATACTACTATTATAATCTACTATACACCTATATTATATTAATATATATATAATATAACTCACCATATATTTATACCTACATTTTTAATCAACGGTTTTTTTACACTTTCACACTAACCATTACGATAAATACATAACTAGAATTATATATTATATACAAATTAACTTTTTGTTTTTTTTTTATATATTACTATTATATAGGATATACTATCATACTTATATACATAATATACTAATAAAACCATCATTCTGACCCACTATATATAGTAATATATATAAATAATACATTATATATTATAATATATATAATACTCAATATATTATATATATATCTATAAATATATAGTATACTATATATGATATAACTATAACACTATTACAACTCACTACAACAACAACCCCTTTTTTATCTTTTACAAACACACCATACTAGATCATATTATATACACACACTACTATATGTGACTACTAACAACCACAACTAAATAATACAACCCTATAATCAACATAATGAATCATACTAAACCCCTACTACACCCAACATAATATATCAGATCAACCTCACCTATATATACTCAACTCAAGAATAACACTAATGATACTCCGATACACACATAAGCAGACAACACCACAAACACCATACATTTTTTAACTACAACACATAAGTACTAATATACGAATCATTATAACTATACTATATAATATATTCATATAACTATATATATATATAATCAATAACTAATATATCATATAAATTACTACACTATCAATATATACACTATCACACCACATACTAACTATATACATCATAATACTAACACACCTACACTACACCTCTATAAATATATGAATATAATAATATATATAATTATAACATAAACAATAAATACACATCACATACCACATACAATTAGCCATACCCATAAAACAATAACATACCATCACATAACACAGCATACACATACATACATACCGACCATTACATCTAACAGACATACACAAGACATATCAACTATATATGCCATACCGATGTAATTATACATAACCTCTATAGATGATATAATATCAAAAAATTACATATATCACATATAATATAAAACTAATAATCTAAAAATTATAACATATGAAAATATCGCGAATAGAAGAAAATGTAAAATAATTCAAAAAACAAAAAAAAAAAAAAAAAAAAAAAAAAAAAAAAAAAAAAAAAACAATATATACAACAATATTCCAAAAGATACTAATAGAGTAGAAAAAAAATGAAAAAAAGAGACAACATATAACATAATATATCAAGACTTCTAAAAAGAGAGATAAATAAACAGAGAAAACCAAAAAAAAAAACATACCGAAATACAACAGAACGAAAAAAAAAAAAAAAAGAAAAAGAACATAAGAAAAAGATAAACAACAAGAAACAAAAGAGTAATGAAAAAAAACACAATATAAGAAAGAAAAGAAAGAGAACGGGGGGTTATTGAAACTCGGACAACTCACCAGCACTCATGAATATTGATGAATCTCAGTGAGTCCATATGATGTGAGAAATATGTTTGTTCCACGTTGACGAAATGCTTCCCAGAGGCAATGACGTGTCGGATGAAAGAACCCTTGAGAGAGGGAAGAAAAAATCCAGTGTGTAGTTCAGTGAAGATGAACTTAATTGGGTTATTTCTCTCCACCACGATATACTTAAGCTCTTTTTTCCAATATAATAAACGTAACAGAGATTCTTGTGATGTTATAGACCCCATGCAAAAAACAAAACAAAACAAAAAAAGTTGGTGTAGATGCTACAAATGTAACTTCTTTATGTTTAGAATATAATATTAACTCTGTTTTAGTAATCAAGTACAAGAATAAGGCTGCTAGGGAGGCAATTTATTGTGCTTAGAACAGTAAGCACTTTTACAGTACCTGGAGGTCTGAAAGGAGATACTGTTGGTAATAATAAAGTTATATAATGTAATCTGCTGTATGCATAGTTCCACAAAATGTGAATTATACATTCCAGTCATGTTGAAATGTTACCCATGGAAAGGTATATTTCATATCATATACAAAGTATTTTACAGGTTTGTGGCACTTTCACCGCAGACAATTAAAACAAAGAAATACCAAATCTTGGTGGTCAGATCCAGATATGGGCATAATAAAGATCTTTTATTTTGTTTTACATTTCAGATTCCAAAGTATGGGATCATAATGATTTATAAAAATCTAATGTAAAGATGTTTCCAATATGTAATTGGAATTGAGAATGTAAAGTATTACCATACTTCTTATGTGCAACATTCACAGAAATTTCATTGGTAAGATATCCAGTGACCTTTTATATTTTGCTTGTGGAGCCCTTTATTAAGAATATCGTTAACATTCCTGCTCTGTTTAAAGTAAATAGCATTTTTTAATTTTTTCCCTGCAAAGAATGTGTTTCACCTATATAAAAAATTTAATGATCAGTGCTTCTCGTATTTATGCCTTATTTGAGCACTTGATGTTGAAATCATATTATATGGTTGTACATATCTGTACAGCTAACATTGTACAAATTGGTGTACACATACATTTTGGCAGGATGAATCAGAATTGTTGTAAATTGTTGTGTGTAGCAGCTAGGGTTTCCCTACTGGATGTGAATACTACTTTCATTGTAGTATTGTGATGGATGTGAATTTTTAAGGCCTTTTTCAATAAAATGTAGATTTGCAGTTTGGCTTGACTTCAGTATCCATTATTAGTTATAATGAATTTTTTGCATAAAACTCGCCAGTGGTATGTGCAGTGAATGTATCTGGTTTAGCAGCCATTGTTACATGCTTATGTGGGCAGATGTAAATGTATTTTGTGTATGTATGTATGTATGTATGTATATATGTATGTATGTATTATATATATATATAATACCATATTATGTGTTATATAATATATAATATATGTGGTAATATATATATATATATATATTATTTTTTTTTTTTTTTCTTTCTTTTTTTTTCAATAATATTTTGGTGTTATGAACAAAAACATCAAACCAATTTAGTTTGACTAAATTGGTACATGGACAGCCACAACTGTATGAGATGACATGTTTTCATGTAAAGTTAAGATGAATTCGTATTTTAACCATGATTTAGAACCTTTTAAATTAATCTCTATATATTATGATGCCATTACTTTCAATATCTATTATGAAATTATTTTTCGTTTTATTTGTGATATTGCTTTTACTTGTTTTATACGATTTGACATGCGAGTTATGCCGAAAACCCGGGACAATAGGACATTTTAACAAAACATTCTTAGAAAAAAAACATAAAAGGCTGAGAAAATGCAGAATGCAATTACAAGAATTATCCCTCCTGTATGACGCAGGTAAGCTTAGGCTGGATTAAATTTTGCAGCCAGGCTTTGTCAACGCTCAAAATGCTCCAGGCTTTGGTGGACATGGCAATTTTAACATCTTATATACGCACAGCTCTTTTAGATAGATTTGCAAGACTGTTGACTTTGGGTCTCTTCATACCAGTGATTTCTTTCAATTTCACTTTGTAAATGTGTTTTATATGGTATGGCTCAAGAGGACCAAACTGATATTATAAGTAATTAAACTTAGATTGGGGGGTTCAATTTTTTTTGAGGATACGGATTTAAAACATTTCGGAAGTATTAGAAAAAAACTGAATTTAACACAATAAAACAATTTAACAAATTGAATGAATTTCATATGGAAGTCTTGTAAAGTCCTGAATTATTTAACATAGAAAATTTCCCTATTGCATCTCCCAGACTTTAAACATATTGATTATACAGAAATCAAAAAAGAAATTACGTTTTCATCTCTGAAGCAATCTTTGAATTTACATTAGGCATAACAATAGCAATGTTTTTCCTTTAAACCCTGTATATAACTCATGAGAGATTACTTTCTTGTATGCATATATACAACACTCAGGCATAGAATGTATTCACACAAAGGAGGAATCATAAAAATACCTTTTGTTTACAAAATTTATTACACGTTAAACAAACAGTGTACAATCATTCTGTAAGTATAAGATCCAGATTTAAAAGTTGAATAATATTATTAACTTATATATTATTGATAATTCATATATTGTAAATGCATGACGCATAAAAGGACTGATTGCAACTCGAGTTGAAGAAGGTGAACCTATGCACACCCTTACATACGGCAACAGAGCAAGAGAGACGTGGGCCGACTCCCAGGGCGAGGAACCTCAGCAGGCGCCCCGCTCCGCGAGAGAACGGGGGAGCCTTGGTGAGGCTCAGCGCCCCTTGGATCACGGAGTTCAAGCGCGGCGCGCGAGAGCAGCCCCACGGAGCTGCCGTCGAGGGCCGCCCTGGAGCTCCGGAGCCCCGGGACTCGGCCATTACACGGCGGACGTTAGCGTGGCGGGCCAGGCGGTGATGATTGGAGGTGGTGGTGGTGGTGATGGTGTTGGTGTAGGGCGCGTCTCGGCCGTCAGTCAAGTCAGTCCGCAGGGGCGTGATCGTGTTGCGGGTGTGGACAGAGTAATGGCCTCCGCCCACACATCCGCGGACACGGACGCCCGTCCAAGCACCGTGTTAGCGCCCACCAGTGTGCCACATTTAGAATCCTGATAATTCTGAGAACGCCTGGTCCATCTCATCCGCAATGTTCTTATATTTTTCTTTTTCATTAACAAGTTCATCTGTAACAGATGGGTGAGATATTTTACAGGCAGTCCACCGGCTGACGGTGGCAGCAGCAGTGGTCCTAGGCTCATCTTACTGCCACTCGCTTCATCGTTGGTCATGGTCGTGTCGGGATAACAGCGTAAACAACAAAACAAATTCATTTGATAATAAATATTTATTTCTTTATGTTATTAAGCCATAGAATACATGAAACCTGTCCTTTTGAAATGAACTTCAAAATCTAGGTTCCTGAATAAAGATTACCTTTTAATAACATTAAAATTACCTATATGGCAGACTTCACCAACGTTATCGAATGATTTAGTGATGATATTGACTCAATCGAAGGTCAAATGCAACACATAAAAAGAAGGAAAAGTAAAAAGATTCTTATAAACTGAATGACATAAGCTTATGAAAAAATAGGTTACAGGCCAGCTGAGGGCATAGGAAGAGAGATGGCAGAACAGTTTGGAGCAGAGAGTGTTTAGTAGCCAGACAGTTCGCTGAAAGTCTGGTCCAGCTCGTCGGTAATGGACTTGTACTTCTCCTTTTCGTTAACCAGTTCGTCTGCAAAGTAGAGATTAACAAACACAGGTCAATTAACACGGCCAAAAAAAAAAGAGTTAGTTCCCAGAAGCTGAAGGCGACTGAGGTGAGAAGAGAAGTTGTTGAGGAGAGTTGGGCGCCGAAGCCGCCGCCGCCGCGTGTTAACACAATCTACTAGCAATCCATGACCAAGAACGACGACGTCCTAGTAGTAGCCAAGAGCTCGCTACTTGTGGTCTAACTGGGAGAGAAAGGGACGATTCTACCCACAGGTTCACTCTCTCCGGACACAAAGTTAACACACCTACCCACTTTCTCAATATTTACATTAGCATCGAATCAAATAAAAAAATTTATACTAATTGTACATGTTATCCACAAAGTGAGAGCCTACTTGTTGAACAGCTTTGAGAACTTTTGAGGCAACAGTTACTTTTTTCCCCAAGCCGTTACAACAATAAGCAAACAAGTTCCATAAAAGACCGGTAGATGGCAGTATCATAGCAAGATGACATGGTGGGGGGAGCGGAGAAAGGGTAAAGGTGCGGCTGGGCCCCTGCACCGAGACTATGCCCGCCTTCTAACCCTCCCAAGACCCTGCTTTTGACGGAGGGCGCACCTGGAGGCCGGAGGGAGAGAGAGAGAGTATACTATAAATATATCCGAAACGCCAGAAGCCACATCAGGAGCGCCACTGCATCGGCACAGAGGAGGTGCAATGTAAGCTCCTACTACCGTTTGCTCCTCCTGCAATGCCGTGCGAGCCTGCGTTCCTGATGGGGTCCCGTGGCTGCACCATGACGCGTTGTGGGGTCTCCTCTCAAGTCTGCCGGCCGTCGGGGGTCGTGGAGGGGTAGAAGGGGGACGGCAGTCGAGTAGGGGTGGGGGATGGGGATGGGGAAGGAAAGAAGGGGAAGTGCACGTGTCGGCCCCGACGCTGACGAAGGCGATCCTCCTCCTCCTCCCTCTTGCCGACTACCCGACTAACGGCGGGATGTCGGGGCGGAAGGGAAGTACAAAACAGAAAAGGGAGTAGAGCAGCTATTATGATGGTGGTGGTGGTGGTGGTAGTAGTAGTAGTAGTAGTGGTGGTCATGGAGAAGATCGGGAAAGTTATGAACTAGTAGTAGTAGTAGAAGTGGTGGTGGTGGTAGTAGTAGTAGTGGTAGTAGTTTAGTAGTCGTCAGGGGTGGAGAGCTCAATAGCCAGACATTTCGGTGAAGGTCTGGTCCAGTTCGTCGGTAATGGACTTGTACTTCTCCTTCTGAATGACAAGTTCGTCTGCAAGGAAGAGAGCGGGAGAGAGACTGGTTAGTACGGAAGAGGATATCAAATACACTTACGATCCTCAACCCGATGGCCTGACTTGTTTACTGCCCAAGCCCGCGATCGGAGTTGAGAATCGCAACACATTATTGTTAGCACCATTCTGGATTATTAGTTCGCTATGTACTCACACAAGTATGCACTCTCGCAGGATACCCCGGCTAGAATCGGCTACTGCACTCACGGATATCCTGACGAGAGCGCGTTGCTAACATGCTGAACAAAGTCATCTAGTGCCAGAAAGTCTTTCCCAGTGAATAATAAAAAAACTGGAACCCGTCAGTGTGAATGATTCCCTTTCACCAAGATATTATCAATGTCACGCTTGAAGTGATATAATGGCATCAATTTGTTTTAAGGTGATTACGATTTTGATATCACTGTCCCTTTTTCATCTTTACTGTATAGGTGGAAACCGATATCCGTGTATTCTGACAATTGTACCAACTGTGCATGAGATTCTGGAAATATAGCAAGAAAATCCCTTGTACCCAAATTAAATGATACAGTCAACATACAATTACTATGTAAGCACTGGCCGTGGAAAGAGTGCCCCGTCACCCAGCAAAAGAGAAAAACATAAGTGTAGAAGTGTTCCTCTGAAGAGTGTTACGAAGCGTACGCCCCTCCAAAAGGAAGAGGGGGCTGTTAAGTATCGGAACTTTGTGGTTTATGATGCCAACCTGTGACTTTCTGCTTCTTCCAATGTGTCCTGGGCTTATTATGTCTACATATTCTGGATGTCCTGTAGGGTGGCTTCCATGTCTGCCTGGAGCAGCCTATTCTTATCTTTCTCAGCTACTAGATCGTCTGCAAACAAAACAAAACACACACACATGCAAGGTTAAATGAACAAACAAAAATTAATAAAATTAAACCGTGTATGAATTATCTATATTAAAATAATACCTACTGGTCAAACTAAGATATAAAGTACACACAAAAAAACAATATCAACATAAAAGGGTGTTAAGACAACAAACAAGTTACGGTAAAAAACACACACTTATAACTAAACAACAATGATTAGGTGTATATGTATATATAATTCACACAAAGTAAATAAAAAACAACACTCCATGCTACCAAAAGTAAAAAAAAAAAAAAAAAAATGCAAGCTAATTACTACACACTCGTCCTGTCAACCCTGTGCTTTCTGGATCAACTGTCTTAACAAGTAAGTACAGGGTTACTCGTATCAAGTCCGGTCAGCCAGTACAGTACTTACTCAACTTGAAAGCTATTAATATGCTATCACTCTCATAAAATACACACACCCAAGATACACGCATGTATATTTAGATGTATGTGTAATTTTTCTTTTTCACCTCACTGATTTTTGCATGTTTTTCCCGGTCCTGTGCAAAATGAGAGGGCACTGTACTGGCTGTACTCGAATCCATTCCGAGACTTGTGAGTAAAGCAACACGTCGGGCGTTTGGTCACTAGTTATGATAAAAACAAGGTCAAGTCGGGTCAATAAAGAGCAGGGAGACAGATGGCGAAGGGGAGAAAGGGTGTTGAAATCGGTTTAACCTGTCAGGAGGATGTGAGGGTTTTTCCCTGACGATTTCACCATCCATTCAACCTAGGTCTCAACTGCTAGTCAACACATCTTTAGTTACTTAGAAAGTGTAGTAACTGATATTTCCCATTGGGCGAGTTAACAAAAAAGACAAGTTAAAAATAAATTCTGTGTTGACTACAGTTTTTTTTTTCAAAGAGAACCCTTGGTAATGAACGGAGTGTAAACTGTATTCAGAAGGATAGTAGTAGTCCTCAGTTGTAGTGAACTTGTACCGCGAGAGACAAGCAACCATAACGGAGGTGGTCCTGTGGTTCGAACTTCTCAACGGGTTTCATCCGTTGCGTGTCCATGTGAGAGAGAGAACTGGAGAGTACCTGTCATCTGGGCGAACCTAGAATTGAACTGGGCAACGTTCATGCAGTGTGGAGAGGAAATGGGTGCAGTGAGGAGCTGCACGGTGCGTCTCGGGTGGAAGCTAAAAAACATATCTTTGTAGAAGTAGGAGGACGTCAATCTATTGCCTAGGCTCAGAGGCTCCAAGAAAATCAAAGCAAAACCAAAACCAAATATCTCTATGAAATCTAAAAACTCGGGACAAAACCCAAGTACCACTAAAGTATCTTGCTAATCGGTCACAAAAAGCATAACTATCGTTGCTTTAACAAGAGTCCCTCTGAGCAAGGTAGCTGAGTCTGGGGGAGGAGGAGAAGGGGGGGGTGACTGTACCTAACATATCACTTTCTTCATTGGTGGAGAAAGTGACAGCAGGTTTCTATGGTTCTCACACTAGAATGCAGTCTAGTAGTAGCATGAAAGGAACCAATCGAAAGTGTGAAGGCACTGTGGGGTCAGAGACAACAAAAAAGGGGAAGTTTGTCCATTAATTCAAAAGGTAAACCCCTAAAAGCCTAAGCTTATCAAGATTATAACTTATGAGAGGGTAGGAACGAGCATAAAGGCTTAGCAGAAGAGAAGGAGAGGAGCGTGCAAGGACTGTCCTCCCTCGCTCTCTCGTGAACTCTTCTACAATCGGTCTGAGGTTTCTAATTCTTAAAAAAATATAAAAAGACAAGAGGGGGAGGGAACTATTGGGTATGTTCAGAGCTCAGGGTGAAGAGAGGAGGGCAGCTGGTCAAGTTTAAGGTCATTATCATCATTTTTTTGCAAGTCGTGTTACTATTGCTGGTCTTCCGAGTCTCAGCTGACGGACACGTTTAGCAGTGCGCCGCCATAGCCTGTTCCCCTCGGCGTCGGATGAGGCCGAGGGAAGGCGCGGCCCCCTACGGTCACTGATCCCCTCACTAAGGCAAGCTCGAGGTTTTCCGGTTTATGCTTTTTATTGACAGAAAACTATATACTCCTGCTTGTTAAGAGTCGTCGGACTCTTAGTCGGGGCTACAACCACAACAGAAGAGCCGAGAATAGGGGCTCTCCGGCTACTGCTAGGCCTAGGGCTACAAACGGTCAGCGAGAAAATGGGGCTACTGTACAGGACTATATCCTAGAGTAGTCTTTCTCTTTATCTGTCTAAGCTAACTGCAGCACGGCTACCTACTCCTCAACACAAATATTCTCACAACAGTTTGAATGTCTTGTAAAGAAAAAAATAAAACTTAGAGAAATGCTAAGAACTTACTGCTTTTGAAAGATAAGTTAAGAAACTTGTTCATTAAAGATTACAAAATAAACAAAACGGTTACAAACAATTAAAGATTGAAAGGTAGAGAAAAAAAATTGCTGTTTGTATATACAGTAACTGCAAAGATTAAACAAAAATTACAGTTCAATCTCTGAGAGAGAGTAAAACAAAAAGTAAAACAGACACTAATAGAAGGAGTGTTTAATTGTATTAGTCTAACAGGGGTTGTTCTGTCACGAGAAGGGGAGGGGGTGAACTGGAACATGTGTTAGCAAGGCGAGTGGCTCGGCCAGACACTGCTATACTGACGGCAACAGTCTGCAGTTGCTTCAATTGTCATTCTTCATGGCAGGAAATAGAAGCGAAAAAATTAAGATTAACTTAAAAAAATTAATAAATGTACAACGAAAGCTTGTTCCTCTGGCGCGGGGAGAGAGAAAAAAAAACACTTGTGCAGATGTTAGGCACTGGCAGCAGTGGCGGTGATGCGAAGAGAAAAAAAAAGAGTAACAGCCAATAGGAATGATGCCGATTCTAGAATAAGAAGCCGATGAATGAAAGGTGAAACAGAGTCGATCTCCGCAGTAAAGTTGCCACTGGTTTCGCATCTCTATACATACAGGGATATGTATAGAGACGACTCTAATATATACATCCTCTGGGGCGCCGACGGCCAAAGTGAAAGTACTTATGTGAGTGTAAACATGGCGATAGCAGTGCCGTAGTCGATCAAAAGGGGTGGGTGGGTCACGTGACAGCTGGGCGAAGGGGTGTGACGCTCAACAATCAAGTACAGTCTTTATTTTTCGTCGATATTTTTTATTGGAAAGAAAATGAGTGAAATCTAATCAATTCTCTGGTCAATTTGAATTCAAAAGGTGGCTTCCTCAAAGGCTAAATAGTGGGAACAAGTTTTTTCTTCTCAAAAGATCATTCTCCTTTAAAATGAATATGAACTATTACCACGTTCTCATCAAGCAAGAAAAAAAACGAAAACAACAAGTCTGCTACGTTAGAATCCTTAATCTCGTGTGCCATATTTCCATGGCCAATTCAGAGCCACGGTTGGAACTTGAGCCAAAGTATTAAATACAAAATAAAAACAATTCACAAAGGACAATTTGGGGGATACGGGAGGAGACCAAGGGACACCGAGCCTATTATTTTTATATGATCGTTACAACACGGTGACGACGTTACATAACGTAACATAACGTAGCAGTGACAGACGAGGGCACGATAAGTTCTGGGGAGTATACAAGTAGTGTGTTGTGTGTGTGTGTGTGACTTTGCGGTGTGAGGGTGAGGTGTAGTGTGCGTGGCTGTGCCTGTGTAGTGAGTGTGGTGTCTGGGAGTGTCTATACGCACCTTCAAGCCTGTCGACCTCCTTCTGGAGCTTCTGCACAGACCTCTCGGCGAACTCAGCACGGGCCTCAGCCTGGTGGGGAAAGACAGGGCACACGGGGTCAGCGTCGGGAAAGGGACAGCGGGGAAGAGAAAAATATATCACGTATATCCATTTCAAGATTTCTAGGGGGGAAGCTTTTGCAAGATGTTCCTCCCCGAGCATATGCAGCGAAGTTACAAACCACATACGCTCACAGGGAAAGCACGGAAAGAGAACTGATATATAAAACATGACCAAACGAAGCAACTAGCACATACGCACCTGCTCGGCCAATCGGCACCACAAACACCATCACCTCCAGACCTTAACTTACAAGCAAGACCCCAGCGGCAGTGCGAGAGGGTCTTGGGGCCGAGAGCGCAGGCCGGGCGGCACCCAAGACCCGCCACAGGCTGCACACACCCTTGGCATGACAAAAAGCTGAGAAGTATGACCCCGTAGAATAAAAGCTGGTAAAGGCTCAGTCACGAAGAGAAGGCAATGTTCCTCCACCGAAATGAGAACGAACGGAAGAAGTGCCCAAGAAGCAAAGGAGAAGGTCATAGAAGAAATAAAAATAAAAGTTCGTGGTAGGCATGATTACCAACTGCTCGAAAATTTCACGCACAGTAGTCTTCCAAGAAAAGTATCTAGTTTTCTGACTGCTATGAAATAAAGAGGAGAGGCTTCTGCTGGGTGCTTCAGCTTGCAAGCGCTGAAGTCCCACGATTACAATCCATGAGAATTAAAGAGAAAGCGGGACAAGAAGAGAAGGGAGGGGCGACAGATGTTAAAGAGGCAATCCCAGGCCTTAGAACCACCCAAAGAGTATAGTTCAAGCGTATCTGATTTCTGAAAGTGCATCTGTAGATTGTTAAAATAGGAGCTTCCTGAATATACTGTAAATAGTATGGGGGAGCATTGGTGGACGCGTGCACATACCTCTTACATAGGAAATGTGAAGCATGAGCGTGCTAGACCAGACCGTGGATTAGTAAAAGCAGAGTTCATTGATTTCTTATCTTGTAAGAGGTAAAGGCAAAAAAAAATTTCCATGGCATTGCGTCCCAGTTAATGAAGAGAGCGAGAGAGCTGGTCACCCAAATGCACAGAGAAGATAAACGAGCAAATTCCAGAGAGAAGAAAGGAGGGCGGCATCGTGGTAAAAAAAAAGAAAGGGGGGGGGCGTTGGAAGTACCTCTCTCATGCGCTGGGTTAACTCCTTGATCTGCTCCTCAAACGAGTCTTCCCTCTGTGCAGCCTAAAACAAGGGGCAACAGGACGCACGGTTAGGGTCATCAGGAGCTTTTATACACAACACTCAGCCACAGGGAAGGCAATTAAAAAAAATAAAAACACATTGGGGTTAACGAAGGCGGTGACTGCTTCAAACATCCGTCGAGGTTGGCTGTGCTGTTCAAATGCTTTTTTTTCCAGGAGGTTTTACTCGAGGGTTAAACCGAGGCAGGGAAGAAAAGCAGGTGCTACTTTGAAGAAGAGTCGCTCGAAAAATACACACCCACACAAGCACACATTCCCCTAAGTCGAGAGACAAGACCTGGCAACAGGATCAACCACCGAGGGGAAACGCGCATCTGAAGAAGAGCTGCATTTCCAGAGAAGTGTACCACCCGGGTCATTCTACGCTTCATTAGGCAACGCAGCGCAGAGAAAACGGGTGATAACAGGTTCTCGAACACAGCCCTTTCGCATGCGCCGTCCCCCTCGACCACCACCGTCAGAAACCTTACCTCTTCCCCAACGCGTCGATTCCCACACCGCGAAACATGCCAACGCCGTCGAAATAAAACACAGGACAGGAAAAAAGCACCCCTAAAAACAAAGGAAGGCCCGACTAATTTACTAAAAGGCTACTAATCCAGGGAAAAAATGACAATCTACGCCCTGGAGACGAAGGCAAAAAATCAGTCCTAGCAGACAAAGAGAGGAGGGAAAAGGAAATGAAGCTCGAGGTCTTTTACGTCCTTGGGCCATTACCTCTCTCAAACTTTGTGTGATACTTCTCAGCTGTGTGTCCATCTTGTCTTCTCTTTGCGCAGACTGTCAGCGTTTTAGAGAAAAATGGTCTAGAGTTAGTATTCAAAAGAAAATCACACAAAAACTAATACCAATGGAAATGAAATTAGGTAAAAGAAAAAAAAATATTACTAGAATGCGGTCAGTCGCTACACACACGCACACAAACACACGGAGTTAAAGAGTCGGCCAAAGCAATTGTAGAAAGTTTCATCATTATGTAATGTGACGTAAAAACAAAATCTAAAATTAAAAGAACGCCGCACGTATTGTGCTTCCATCTAAACCGTGTAAAAAAGACAAACTTTCTATAATAGCTTAGAAATGCCGACGATAACACATCTGTTTTATCGCCAGCACTTGAAATAACCGACAATTCGAAAAGAAATAAAAAGACGTCAAAATACTCGGTTAATAATTCTAAAGAGATGTTATTTTGGTAGCAACACGGCGCCCGCAGGATCTGGCTGGGCCTACATCTGGATTATGGTATCTGTTGAGATACCAGTAAAAAAAAAATGGTAGGGGGGGGGGATAGGAGGAGGAGGAAGAAAGAAAAGAGAAGAAAAGAGACGAGAGAAAAGACCACAATTGTAGGTCTCTCTCTCTCTCCCTTCCCATCTCTCAATTCCATCTTTCTCTCTCTCTCTCTCTCTCCAAACACCAACATCTAAAAAACAATAGGAAAAAAACATCAAAATCTACATCATCCGGGTTGCAATATCATCATCATCATTATTACCGCCTTCAGCTTGTTGGTAAGTGTCTTAATCTGCTCCTTGTAGGCTTCCTCGCGCTGGTTGGCCTGTTAGGAAGGGTTAATCTCTTATATATCAAGTAAGAGAGAGAAAGAGAACCTTGGGCGAGACGTGGGCATTACTCTACCCATTATAAAAAATAAATTTGAGAACCAATTATGAGAATAAATGAACAAAAACCATTCGAAGTGAAGTTACTGATTAACCCATTACTAAACCTTTTGAACTTTGAACAAAATCAAAAAGTGGTTTAAGCTCAATACACGAAAAGTTGAACCCCGTAACGTCATCCCAAGTTATAACTCGAAGGGCGATATTTACCTTCTCCTCAGACACCTCAAGGGACTTCAGGTTGTTGCCAACGACACGCAGCTCTTCCTCAAGCTCGACGATCTTTCTGCAAGTTGCAAAGGAAGGAAGGCGCCCGTGAGAAAGTGTTTTCGTGTGTGTCTTTGTATAGCAGGTATGGGGACTTCCTTGATAAGTTTGGTTGAAAATAGTAGATTATAATTATTATGCATGAAGTTGAGTATCAAAGAGATGATTATTATGCATGAAACTGTGGATAAAAAGTTCAATCTTTGTTCTAGTAACACTGTACTATACTTAAGCTGTTTTCTCTATATTCAACAGCGAAATGGCTCTAAACTATACAATGCTGACAGGAGATTGGCAAAAGGTTAAACATGCTGAGACACCTATAAGAAGAAAAACAAAAACAAACAAAAAAAGATGGCCCCGGTAAGTCAACGAGAGCGAACGAGAGAGAGAGCGAGAGAGAGAGAGAGAGAGAAGGATGGAGTGAAAGAGAGCGAAGCCCACTCTCCTTATCCTCTCTCCATTCCCTTCCTCCCCCTATCTCTCTCTCTCTCTCCCCCCCCCTCTTAGTCTCTCCCCTCCATAAATACTCACCCTTCGGCCGCTTCTGCCCTCTCCTCAGCCCTCTCCAAGTCGTTCTCCAGCATGACGGACTTACGGGCCAGCTGGAGGGTCCCGAGGCCAACAACACAGCATCACCACAACACAGCAATCAAACAAAGGCACTACAGTTACTCCAAGTGTTTCGTCTCAAGATCATGCAGTGGTAACAAGTACTATAAATGGTGGATTATATATATAAATGTAGGTAGGTAGGTGCTTGCTTGCCGGTATATATATATATAAAATCACAGCAAACTGAGGACTAAAGCTGGAGAAAATGAGGATATACTTTTGAACAACACGAATGACCCGTGTGTGTGCGAGAGCGTCTTCGCTATGTTTCCCCAGACTATGGGAAGCTCTAAGGAAGCCTCTGCCTGCTAAACACACACACGAGGAGGCCGTGCAATGATGGAACAAAAAAAAAAAGGTAAAGCCTCTAAGAGATCTACGATTTCAAATAAATAATGAAAACATGCAGTCTTAAAAAAATAAAAAACAATGAACTCACTCAATGTACAATATGATAAATACACAAACGAAAAAAATAACAAGAATAAGAGAAAATAAGAGAGACGGAGAAAGCAGAACTCCACTCCCACGAGGCAGACACTAGAGCTGTGGCAAACCGTATTAGGCACAGATCCCAAGGCCTATGCACACCTACAAACACACACCTCTAGGGCTGAACTATGGACCCTCAATGAACACGGTGACACTTCCCCCTCCTTGAAAACGAACAAACTACCGTCCATGATTTAAGTACAGATGAACAGGAGGGGGAGGAGTCAGCGGTTGCATTTCGTTCGACTCAGTCTGCCACTTTCTCGGGGGTGGAGGTCGACGGAGCGGATTGTCCTCGCCGCTTTACGTCTCTTCCTTTCTTCCTTCGAGATGGATTCCAAAGAGTGACTTTCTTGAATGCAATGATATATATATTCTTCATGAGAGGCATTTACTTTTGAGGTTATTTCCAACGTAAATATTGCGAGGAAGATCCGCCAGACAAGAAAAAAACACTGTTGCTGTTGCTGCTGCTGCATGCACAAACACACAAAACACACTGGTGTCTACGGAACACCCCCTCTCCCCCTTTCCCTCTCCAGAGGAAAGAATAAAAAGGAGGAGGGGGAAGAGGGGGAATGTTCATAATAAAAAAAAGAGGAGGGAGGGAGGGAAAAAGCAGGCAAGGCTCCCGACCACAACATCGGGGACGTGAACAGCCGACACTCACGATTCACCAGTCTCGGCACGCTCCTCAGCACGCTCAAGGTCGGCCTCAACCATGGCCAGCTTACGGGCAACCTGCGGGTGTGGGGTTGAGAGGGACAGTGAGAGACAGCCAGACAGACACGGACAGAGAAAGACACGAGAGACAAGACAGACAGACAAAGAGCAAAAGCGCCCGTTTGAAAGAAAGTGAAGGAGTCTTCACTTGATCTTACACGAAATCACTGTGAAGGTTGAAGGTTGGTGGTTTGATGCTGCAGTGTTGATAAAAAAGGTAATTAATTTAATTTTAATACTGATCACCTTGGAGGGAAAGTTGAAGAAAAAATGAAGCATCTTCGAGAATTATATCTGATTCTATTGATTTTTTTATTTTTTTTTTTTAGCAAGTTCGAGGTAATGTTAGTTACACAAATTCTTATAAACACACGTGTTAACGAGAAATCTAATACAGATCTAGATTCATGCTAAACCTATGGTATTCATTATCATTTCTTTTTGGAAGGGGGGTGAACTTGACTATTTCGCATCTATATTTCAGTGGAAATCTATTGTTAGTCAACGCCAAGAGATTATTAGACAAGGACCTAGAGTCGAAACTAAAAATTAAGTAGTCAAGTGTTATTCTACTGGATACAAGAAAGTCAAGATTAGATGAGGAAGAAGGGAGAAGAAGGCTGTAGTAGTATGGCCGTCTTGGACAACCCAAGTCCCTTAGACGCCATAGAAGAAACACACAAGAGGACGTTAGCTGTATCTACAAGACGCGGCCGGCACACACTCCCGCTCGCTGGCTGGACGTCAACACACGCGGTTAGCAAATGTGAGAGAGGAGAGGAGGAAAATGAAGAAGAGGAAGAACGAGACACACGATTAATCATGATTATTATTATTGTTGCTGTTTTCCCTAAGGGACACTGCCTCCATGCGGCAATCACCTCGTCGTATTTCCTGTCGGCTTCCTCAGCCAGGAATCGAGCCTCCTTGAGCTGGTTCTCCAGGGCGTCCATGCGCTCCTCGTCGGACAGGGAGCGGTTCTCGAGCACCTTGCGCATGCTGTGGGGGGGAGGAGTAAGCCCAGGGGTTAGCGGGGGCAGAGAGACGCAGAATCTCACATGACTTATGGTGCCTGCTCGCGCTGCTCTCCTGCTGCTCGCCCCTTCGCCTCTGCTCTTGGGAAACAAGATTAAATCCCCGCGGCAGAGGGACGCGCCTGCGTATGGACGACCCAGGGAACATTTTGCAGGGACTTGCTTCCTTCTACTCGGTGGGGAAATGTCCCCTTCTGAAAAGTGTGACTTCCCCTGCTGCTGCCTCCCTGGGTCGTCCACCTTCCCCTGCCGCGGTGCGCACCGGGGTGGGCCCACTGGCCGGGCCCCAACCCCTACGAGGGCCCGTGGCCGATTGTCAACCCAAAAGGCTTCGCAACGCTCGTACCTCTTCGTACTTCTTGTCAGCCTCCTCGGCAATGTGCTTTGCCTGTGCGAGCTGGGCCTCAAGGATGCCCACTCGGTCGTCCTCCATGTTGGCTCGGTTCTCCAGGCATTTGCGGGCTCTGAGGGGGAGGGGAAGATGGAGGGGGAGTGGTGGGGTCGACGGACGGACGGACGGAGGTTTGGTGGTGGTGGTGAAGATGGTCCCAGGAAAGGCAGCGTCCAAATTTCAAGAGAGGAAGTGACAACACAAGTTATAATTATGATAGTGATTATTGACTAGCTAGCTGACTTCTCTTAACTTTAGCTTCCCTAGCATTGGATGGGTAAAGATCAATTATTCCTTGGAAATTACAATAGAGATCTAACCAACAAGATGGCTAATATGAAATAAACCCTTCTTACATCCCCATAAAAAAAGCTAAGCTAAAATCATCATCACAGAACCTAAACACTACAGCGCCACGCCCGTGCGGCGGGTGGCTGCTTCGCGAGACTAGCGACGAAAGGCCGAGAGTTTGCACTTACCTGTCGTGGCCTCGTCAACCCTGAGCAACGGGGACGAGCGGCCACGAGGCACCGCCAGTAAAGGGCTGCCACAACTCGGGCAACGTCATGTTAAACTACTATTTTCAAAGAATTCCTATATATATGCGTATCATATTCTCTTTTTCGAGACTCTCATTCTCTCCCCTTTATTTTTTTGCATTTCTTTTGTGATTTTTCATTTTTTCGTTTTTTGCGATTTATTTCCGCGTGTTTAAACAAGCAGTACTAAGGCTCGGCTGTGGGTGGCCGTGTGTAAGGTGTGCGAACAGGGCTGAGGGCGACCCCTGCGGGCGCCCCCGCCGCCCCGCCCCCTCCACACCCGCCGCAGCCGTCGCCGCGGCCGCTCGCCCCGCCGCTGCCGGTCCCCGCCCACAGCCGCCCGTCGCCGCCCAAAGCCCCCGACGCCGCCGAATCCTCCCGGGAGGCCGGCGGTGCGCGGCGGTGGGCGTGCGGGCGCTGGCGGGCCGGCGCGGCGGCGAGGCAGGCGTGCGCGCCCGCGAGGGGGTGCGGACGGGTCAGAGCGCCTCCTGCGCCGCCTGCTCGGCCTGCAGCGCGGCGAAGAGGCGCTCGACCTCCGCCCCGATGTCGGCGATGCGGGAGAGGAGGTGTGGGGCGGGCGTCCTGGTCGTCCAGCACGGATACTGACCGCTCGGACTCGTCGGCGGCCTGGGAGGCCTCGGCCAGCTTGGTGGTGGCGGTGTTGAGGCGCTCCTCAGAGCGCTCCAGGTCCTCCTCGAGCAGCTGGATGCGGCGGTTCAGAGCGGCCACCTCGCCCTCAGCCTGCAAGGAGAAAAAGGAGGGCGCAATCAGAGTACCGCCTTCGGGAGAACCCAAGTGGGTGCACACAGCCGTACAGCCGTCACACGCACACATACACACACACACACACACACGCACGCACGCACGCACGCACTCCCACACACACACGGGCACGCACACGGCCTCATGGACAGCCTCGCTCGCACCGACTCATTCACGTGGACTGAATGGGATGATTTCGTGTGGCAAACGTTTTACTGAAGCAAATAATAAAATAGAACCATGATTAGCAAAAGAAGGCAATTCTACTGAGAGCAAATGCCAAAGAAACAAAAAGTGAAAAATAACTTATCATAGAGCAATCAATCTACTGATACTTATATGCAAATAAAGGAGAACAAATTATACAGTGAAACAAAGAACCGTAAAGTAATATGACAAAAAGCATTATTGGAAATTATCAAAATATATATTCAAATATTCATAAAACAAAGGAAAAAAGGGGGAGGAAGCACCGCCGTTAGATTCGCCAGGAAGGAAATGCAGCAACTGTGTTTACTGGTACGAATACAATGCAAAAGGAAGGAAGGATAAAGAATGAAAGGAGAGAGAAGAGGAAAGAATGAGAAAGAAAAAGATACAGAGAAAGAGAAAGAAAGATAGAGAAAGAAAGAAAGAGAGAGAGAGTCAAAAACAGTAAATAGTTCTTCCAGCCCTCAAGTGCCTGGCGAATCGTAATGAAGCCACTTCCTCCCCAGGTTGAGAGAACACAACTGGTGAATTTTATTAACAACCAGAAACATTTTTTTTATTGGGACAAAACATGATAGAAGGTAAATTTGTATGGTAACAGAACAAAATAATGCAGAGAAGAAAAAAAAAGATTAAATAGAGAGAGACAGCACGTAAATTAAAACAAGAACCACTGGAAAATAAAATAAAAAGAGAAATCACATTATTAATCAATCCTTCATCCATAACAAACACGTCTTGGCAACATCAGGAGTAGGCTAAGGTATTCAGCATGACAAAAATATATAAATGAATAAATCTGGCCTCGTGTTCTTTTATTATTATTTATGTCACCAGATTCCTTTCCTAGAGCTGGATGTAGGCCTATCTGCGGGGGAAGGAAGGGGGGTACTCGGAGAAGAGTGGGTATCCCCCACCTCCTCCTCCCCTTCCCGATCCCTATCCCTCTCCCTCCTCCCCCTCCCACTCACCAGCACCCTCGAACCAATGGAAAATGCAGAAATCGTTCGCCAACCCTCTTTAGGAGTTTCTCTGGGCATTCGACGCGTCCGGTGCGTGGTCACGCGGTCACATGGCCATATAGACACAGACAGGCGGTCACATGGCCATACAGACACACGGCCACGCAGACTCGCTGGGCTGGCGGGCGGGCTGGCGGGCGGGCGAACACCTGCGAGCTCGAGTCCAGGTGAGCGCCGCGCCGAAGCCGAGCCGTCGAGCCGCGTCGAGTGGAGTCCCATGACCCCGTCGCTAATCACCAGGAAACGTCCCAAATTCGGGGCCTCCTCTTCTCGCTCGACGTCGACGGCGGCGGCGCGATACGGACGTACACGCATTCGTGCACATGCCGCAGCGCACACGGCCGACCCGTCCCTACATGGCTCGCTCACAATTTCTGCATTTTTCGGTCAGGGGCGCGGCGGCGGCGGCGGCGGCGGTCGGCCGTCGGCTGGAGGGGGGGGAGAAGGGATCTGGAGGCGCCCTTGGGGCCTGTGACTCATACAGGGACTCCCTTGGCTGCCCTTATAAGGAGGCCGTCTTCTCATTGATTCCTCGCCGCCGCCTTGTGAGGGAAGACGGGGGGAGGGAGCTGGGGAGATGAAGAGGGAGGGAGGATGGAGGGGGTGAAGGGAGCGTGACCTCGCCGGAGTGAATACGGGCAACAACAGTGGCCTCCCTCGCGCCCGTATCACCAGCGGGCGGCCACGCTCCCGCTACAGAGAACAGAGGGAGGGAGGGCTACGGGATATTCACCATCCCCACCACTCCCCTCTCCCTCTCCTCCTCCTCCTTCAATCTCACCCTCACCGAAGCCTTGGCCCCCAACAGCTGATGGAGCTCCACGCCCAGCTGGAACTTGCGTGCTGGCATGACTTCTGCATCCCATTCTCTGGCGCGGGGAGCGGGGCGACCGAACCCGGCTGCCCCGTTACCTCCTTGACAGAAAATTCATAATGAAGGATGGACACTCGATATACACCAAAAATTTACCACATGTTGCTATTAAATCGTAAGGCTGTAACGGCATTCAGATTATCCATACATCTTCGTTATTCTCGACGACAGATAACTCGTAAATACATTCGGAAAGCCAATTAACTGTATACACTTAAGATGTTGCATGCGCATAGGAGGCAATGCATCGCACGCTCTCCTTTAGCAACAAAGGGGAAAGGGAGGGGGGGGGGCAACAGCCACGGCAAACGCGACGACCAACCCCCTCCCATCAGGACGTCCAAAGACACTCCCAAACTCTCCAAATATCTTTTCACCATCTTGCTTTACTCCGACCTATTTACTCTGACAAATCCAAACCAAAACTACCACTCACTGATGTTACAGGCTAGAGTAAAATCGTACCCCCACCCCCCATCAAAGCCGATTCGGCTCGATTCGCCAATCTCCGACTGCGTTCGCAAAGAGGTGATCATTGGAGAGGAGGGAAACCCCAGGCTGCATCGGGGAAGGGGGTTAGGGGAAGGAGGAAGGAGGAAGGGGGAAGAGAGGGGGGGCCGAGGAAGTCATGAACCCTCGCGGTCGACACTTGGAACCTTAAAACTGGAGCGAGAATCGAGGTTAAGTGTCAGCATTTAGTGGGGAGGGGAGGAGGAAGAGAAAGAAAGATATGAGAAAGGAGGGGAAGGGGGGGAAGATATATATATATATTATATATATATATATATATATATATATATAGAGAGAGAGAGAGAGAGAGAGAGAGAGAGAGAGAGAGAGAGAGAGAGAGAGAGAGAGAGAGAGAGAGAGAGAGAGAGAGAGAGAGACGGGCATAGCTCGGCCTCGGGGCAGGCAGACGGCCGGGCAAGAGAGCAGCAGCGTCGGCGTGCGCGCGCCGTGGACGGGGAGGTGCAGGAGGAGCCCGCCCGGCTGAGGTGGGTCGTGTGTGATCGCCCCAATGCCCGGGTAGTGGCAGGGTGGGCACGCACGCTCCATGCCCATGTTTGGACGCACCCCACCACCCTCCTCCGCTGCTGCCGCTGCCCTGCTGCCGTGCCCTCCCTGCCCTCCGCCTACCTCCTCCCCTGCCCCCTCCCTCCGGCCTTTCAAGTGGCCTCATGACTGTCTCAATTTTGATGAGGCCCGTTCATTATGCTCTCATGGCTGCGACGGCCGAGGGAGAGAGATGGGAAGAAGGGGGGGGGGCCTGGTCTCATGTCCTCATCACCTGACCTGCCTCGTCTTCTGCTCTTCCCCTTCTCTCCTTTCCTTTTCCCTAAGTGTTATAGAGAAGAGGAGGAGGAGGAGGAGGGTGTGAAGGAGCCATCGCCACCTTCCCTTTCCACCGCTCCTCCTTTTCCTCTTGAGAGCTGTCAAGAGAGGAGGAAGGAGGAGGAGGAGGAGGAGGAGGAGGAGGGAGGAGGAGAGAGGAGGAGGAGGAGGAGGAGGGAGGAGGACGGAGATCGCGACGGCCGAAGGAGCGAGTGTGTAACGGCGCGGAGGCCCAGGGCGGACAAGGCGCTGATAGTGAGGCGACCAACTGTTATCGCCTTCGGAAGTGTGACCCGCGAGACGACTGCTGCTCGGGGACTCGTCGTCGTCACAATCCTCCAACCCTTTCTCATCATCATAACCATTCCTCTCATTACCATTATCATGCTCCTCCTCATTATCATCATCACTACTTAATCATATCCTTTCTCTTCATCACCACCATGATCCCTATCACCATCACCACCCTCTCCCGCTCTCTGGTCCCCGCCGTCATCGTGCCGTGGCTCCCGCATGAATACCAAAAATGCAAATCGCCAATACCTATTCAATCATCCCGGATTCAGCTTTAGGTATGACAGCAGCTCGGCAACAATCGCCGTGAAGGTAAACAGCTGTTCGCACACGTCATGCTCGCTCTCTCTCTCTCTCTCTCTCTCTCTCTCTCTCTCTCTCTCTCTCTCTTCTCTCTCTCTTCTCTCTCTCTCTCTCTCAGTCCCTCTACCTACGTCTTTCTCTCCCTTGACGTAACAGCGGTCGAGTCGACCACATTACGTTAAAAAAAGGAAAAAAAAACGTCAACCTGTACGTCAACCCCTTAAGCTCCCGGCCCGAAGACGTGCGACGGTAAAACATTATCGCGAACTGCGCACTTTAAGCGTTTTAAAATCTCTCGCCTGCAGGATCTAAGCCTCGTGAGCCGGGCGGAGGAGGGCCACGCACGTTCCTCGCCCGGCGCCGCGAGGAAGGGCGAGAGAGGGGCGGAGGCGAGAGAGGGGCGAGGCGAGGGGAGGGCGGAGGGGGGAGGGCGAGGGAGCGCGAGAGATGCCTCTCGCCCTCTTGCCCTGGATGAGAGAGAGGGGAAGAGGGGAGAAGGGAGAGGAAAGTGGTAGCTAGAAAGATAGATAGATAGATATATAGGCTGGGGGAAAAATTTTCCCAAAAATTCGCCCGACACGAAGAGAAGAAGAGACAGAGATGGAGTTGGTGGAGGAGGATAAGCATTCGTCATTCGGGGAGAGGGGGGAGAGAAAGAAAGAAAAAGAAAATTCGGCTCACTCACTCCTCCGTGACTCCCGCTCCCACTGCCCTGCAAAGGAGGTCGAGAAACCGGTGCGCGGGGGAGGGAGAGGGGGGAGGAAGGTGCAGTAGTGAAGAGGAAGAGGAAGGAAAGACGAATTGAGGGAAGAGCAGGGGAGGAGGGGGAGGGGGGCGGGAAAGTGGGCTGAGGCTGTAATCACGAATCATCACTAATCACATAATCATCGTCATCACGGCCATACACGCACACCGCCACACCGGTTGGCTGGCGGCGACGGCGG